AGTGGTTGAGCGTGTTTGATGTTAAAGAGATCCATCCAGATGTTGGATTGCTGGAGAAGGAATTCTCCAGAGTATCCGCTTGTAGTAGTAAGTATGAGATTGTTTCTCTTACTAAGAGCTGCTAGTTGGATAACAGGTCCTGCAATGCCAGCTTTTTGGAATGCCTCGTTGATTTTGTTTCGTGCTTGGAGCGGGTTGATGGTTTGGTTTTCCTCTAGTGTTGCAACTATTTGATAGTGCGTAATTAGTTTCTTAGGCGTTGGCTTTTTCTTTGGGGCTACAGTCGTCCAAGTGGCGTTCTTTGATGGTTGAGCTGCAATTGTTGCGTATGATTGGGGAGCATTTGTGTTTGTTGTCGTTGTTGCTACTGCTACTGTTTGGTTGTTTTGACCAGCTACTGTGGCTGTTGCCTTCTTTAATGTCTTTGCTGCTTTTTCTGAAGCGTTTGCTAGAGTAGCTGAGTGGAAGGCGAGCTTGGCAGATAGTTTGTCCGAGATCTGGTTTGTAACTCTCCCTTTTTCCGTGTAGTCTCTAAATACGTCTAGTAGTTCGAGTAGCTTGTTTTGCTCTTCATATGAGTTGGTCATAATAGAGGCTTGGAGGATCAGGTTTCTAGCCCATTGGATTGCCTGTTCTGGATCTTTTGCGGTTGGTTTATCAGAGTCATTCTTTTGGAATGGATTTCTTCCAGTTCTGTCGTATACAGGAGAGAAGAGGGCTGGTCGTTTGTTCATGATTGGGACTAGTCGTTCGGGTGGGTTAGGTTGAGTTTGGGTTGGGGTCGCTGGTGTCTGGTCCTCTTCTATACCCATTTGGATATCATTTTCGAGATAGATTGCGGTATTAGTGCTGTTTCCGCTTGCCTCTGGGATCTGCACTATGATATTGTCGCTGTCTGGCGGCATTTTTGTTCTGTTGTTGCTACTTTACACTAGAAGGATACCTAGTTCTTCTAGCCGTACCGGTGTGAAAGTAGTGAAAGCCTTGCTATTTTACTCTTCTTACTCTCTTTTCTCTATCTTACTGATCTATCGAGTAGATCTCTAGGATAGGAATCGATTTGGGAGACTAGAAAACAGCGAAAGAGTCAATTGTTGGTGTTTTTGGTTATCTTATCGATAAGGACTGGTCTGTGCGTTTTTGTTTTGGAAGATTGAACGCGTCTGAAGAATCTCGTTCTACTGGCTCTAGCTTTACAACCAGCTGGCTGCAGAGGCTTAGAGTAGCTGGAATGTTTTTCTTCTGATGGTTTCGACTATATTCCGATGAAAAACGACGCGTTTTGATCAGTTTTCGATTTGAGGTGTGTGGTAGATGAGAAGCCTTGATGAGTTGGGGTGAAGATCGCGTCGGGCAGCTGTGAATGAGCTGTAGGCAGCAAGGCTTTGACTAGTAGTGCCTGAATCTTTCCCGTCATCAAGCTTCAATAGCTCATTTGCCTTCTCAATCGTCTTGCCATCCTGGGCAAGGATACTTTTAATCCTCCTTGCTTGTGCTGGATTTCTTAAGGCTTCAGTCACCTTAGCCTGCATGTCCTTATTAGGCCGGAAGTTCTTCGGTCTTTTTGGATGATCTGGAACGAGGTACCAGCAGTCCTTATACCAGTGTATGCCTCCACAAACACATTGTGGTGTCCTCTGATAGGTCTTGCATGATGATTGCTCTTCTTTCTGGTTCTGGATCTGCTGTTCCGCAACGCCTAGAGTCGCGAAAGTCCCGAGTGAGGCCGTAGGAGGTCCAATTCGTCGGTGATACATCCTGAACTGCGCGATATAGTCTACTAGCGGTTGAATCTCATTTATTCTTCCGGTAGTCTCTTTTAAGATAAGGTCTTGATGCGCCGATCCAGCCCATTCAGGGGCAATCGCTCTGACAACTGTCAGAAAGTCGTCTTGGGCTCGATAGCCTGTCGTCTCAGGAAGGTCTGCCTCCCTGCATTGATTCGTGACGTGAATCCACTCGTCAAGCCATTGCTCGAGATTGCGTCCTCGAGGCTTCTCTTGTAGAGCGCGGTACTTGGCTACTAGCTCTCTACTGCGTGCAGCTGTTGTTGGTGCAAGTTGCTGTTTGAGCGTGATCAGTCGATCATAGATGTCATCTTTTCCGTTGATTAGGTAGAGATGGCGAGTTGCAATCGTACGGCTGATTTCCATGAGAAGCTCGCCTTCTCGTCGCTTCATGTTCGCATATTCTGCTCTCTCGAATCTCCAGTCGTGAAGGAGATCGCTGTATATCGCCTGCTGGCCTGCGTCTAGCTGGCTGATCGCGGTTGCTTCAGCCTTAACCATGCTAGGTAATGGTTTCGTGGGTTCAATAAGCTTCGGTAGCTCATCCTTCGGTTTCGAGATGTCGCAGTATTTCCAGATACCGTCTACGACGGCCTTCTCACGTCGTAGCTGGAACCACGACTCCCAGTCTGCTGGTTTATCCAGTATAACAGTCACGCGTGTGACTCCCGCTTCGCTGAGCGACATCGTGATCTTTCGATCGTATGACTGAGCCGGGCTCTCAATGCTATAGGAGCAACGGCAAGGTATTCTAGTAGTGACGCCACACTGTGGCTATTAGGGTACTTAGTGAACGCAGTCGTTGTCAATTGCGAGTGCAATCCGGGCTCATAACTGTGGGCGAACAACAGAAAGAAGAGAACTGGTTGATTATCCTATAGAGTAGAGATGTGTGCTTATATACATGATGTGTACGTAAGTACATAATGTAGATAGTAGGGCAGCGAAGGTAGTAGAAGATACTAGAAGATCTGATAAGCGTATTAGACTAACGCACGGACACCCAACCGTGTTGGCTGACAGATGCTTGTTGGGAGGGCAGGTGATGTTCTAAAGACTCCTAGTATTTTCCTACAGGCCATGTTGTAGAGTGGTTGGAGTATGCTAGTGATATAGCTTTGGCCTTTCTAGTAGATTTGTGACCCGTAGTCGGCAACGCTAGTCACGCAGGCTAGGTATAGCTGCCTAATAGCTTGTGGGGATAGTCCTTTCTCTATGTTTGCGAGCCTTCCAAGTCTATAGAAAGCTAGTCTTGCTTAGCTAGCTCGTGTGGCGATATGTTCTTTAAAGGATAGCCGGTTGTCTAGGTATATGCTAAGCCACTTAACAGTATCCTTTAGTTCTACTATTAAGTTGTCTGGTAGTTGTAGGGTTCTCTTTTTTCTCTCCTTTTTAGCGGTGAAGTGTATCAACTCAGTTTTGGCTGTATCGAATATAATGGCTAGGTCTTTTCCTCTTCTAAACAACTGTTTTACTTGCTGTTCTAGTATTTTAACGTTTTTCTTTAACGAGGTAGAGGATGCTGATATTGCTAGATCATCAATATATGATAGGTTGAAGCTTTGTAGTCCTGGGAATAGGTCTCTTATGTAGATTAGGAAGAAGATAGGAGAGACTGGGCTGCCTTGCGGTATACCGGCAGCTATCTCACTAAATCCTTCTATCTTATTGTCAAAAGAGAGCCGTAGGGTTCTATTAGATAGAAATGATTTTGCCCATGCTATTAGGCTGATTGGTAGGCCTAGTTTCTTTAGAGTCTTTAGGAACTGATTATGTGATACATGATCAAATGCTCCTTTTACATCTAGAAAGATAGTTGACGTAATTAGGCCTTTTTGTTTCTGGTGCTGGATTTGGTCTACTAGTAGTAGTGCGGCGTCTATTGCAGATTTCTTCTGTCTGCCTCCAATCTGGGTGTTGTGTAGTAGGTTGGTGATTTCTGCTAGACTACTGAGCCTGTTTGCAATGATCCTTTCAAGAATCTTCCCTAGGTAGCTTAGTAGAGTGATTACTCTATAGGCCTTAGGGAGAGAGTAGCACAGTCCGCAACAATCAATTAAGTGGGTCCTAGAAGGTTCAGATTGGATTGATTGATTACCGCTTTAAGCCTAGTAGTTACCTATAGGAGTTTAAGCCCTACCTAGATAGGTAAGTGGGTCTAGGAGAGTGACCGGATTGAATTGATTGTTGCGGAGTCTAGAGAGTAGTCTGGTTTTGATGGCTTTTTTAGAATAGCTCCTGTGGCTCGTTTCCAGCATTTTGGCTAGTATTGTCAGATAACAGGGTTCTGATGGGAATCATAATAATTGTGGTTGAACGTGTGTATTGTGGTGTGTGGTGCAGTCTCGTGAGGGATGAGACGGAAGGTCGCCCTGTCCTAGTCCCTCTTGGGACTAGGGGGTCTACGTAACGTGATGATCTCCAACTCCGTTGCCTTCCACCCAAAATCTACCTCATATCTGACACACCCCTTCAGCTCAAGCTACGCTCTGGGCTGGACAATCCTCCGCTTGTACGACTCCAGGTTTTCCTGTGCCGCTGCGGATCATATTCAATGTCGCGGCATTATTGTGCGGTGCCTGCGATCTCCATGCTCTCTAAACGGTTAAGCAGTCCTTCTATTTGTCCTTCCTTAACGACAATCTTATCCTTAATATCTACCAGCCCAACGTGTTCAAGGAACTGGCGCATCTTGTTGGCGGGTAGGGACTTGGTGAAGCCGTCGGCGATCATATCATTGGTGGGCGTGTACACAACCCTGATCTTCTTCCGCTGTACTTCTTGACGTAGCCAGTGGTTGTGGATAGCAACGTGTCGGAGTTTGGTCGTCAGCTGGGAGGTGTTCTCGTTGACCAGCCGGATCGTTTGTTTGTTGTCGCACTGGATCGTGATCGTCGAGTCCTCGAGCTTGATACCTAGCTCGGTCTGCAGTCGTACGAGGAACTGTGCCTCCTTCGCTGCTTGTGCTAGAGAGAGTAGTTCCGCTTCGGTTGTCGACGTCGTGACCGTGTCTTGTTTGTTTGCTCGCCATGCGATTAGACTCCGCAACAATCAATTCAATCCGGTCACTCTCCTAGACCCACTTACCTATCTAGGTAGGGCTTAAACTCCTATAGGTAACTACTAGGCTTAAAGCGGTAATCAATCAATCCAATCTGAACCTTCTAGGACCCACTTAATTGATTGTTGCGGACTGTGGCTCGGGTTCGTGAGAAATCGTGCGAGTCGTGAGGTGGCAAAGGCGACGTCAGGGCGCGTATTGACTGCCACGAACAGGAGTGAACCAATCTTTCGTTGGTATAGGTTGATCTCGGCGGCCGTTGCAAGGTCTTTCCTTGGCAACAGCTCAATTCGTGCTATTGGCGTGTCATGTCGTATCATACGATCAGTGACGAGTCTGGTGATCTTATCAATGTAGGCGGCTTGGGAGAGCCAAACCTTCTGGGCTTCATAGTCTCTAATAACCTCTAGTCCTATAAACCACTTAAGGGGTTCTCCTCCGGTAAGGGTGTACTTCTTCCGTAGCTCTTCCACTGCCTTGTCTGCCGAAGCCCTCTTGTTGGGGTGATTGCCGAGAATAATATCATCGACGTAGAAGAAGATGAAAACTCCGTCCCGTATGATGCAGCAGGGCTCGTGAGGCACTGGAAGGAAACCCATACTCGTGAGGTGCTCGGTGATGTCTTTCTGCCACAGGAGAGGGGAGATCCGGAGGCCGTACAACGCCTTGTCAAGCTGGAGTATCGTGCCAGGCCGGGCATAGCCTCTGGGCATGCGCATGTAGACCAGTCGGTCAATGAGCGCGTGTACGAAGGCGTTTGCAACGTCGAATTGCCTAAGCTCTAGGCCGAACCGAGCAGCAATAGCCATAAGCATGCGAAACGATCTTCCAGTAAGTGTGGCGGCGTAGGTCTCTTGGGCGGTAACATTGTTCTGCTGATCGCCTCTAACCACCAGCCTTGCCTTGCACTTCTTGAGTCGAGACTGCTCGTCAAGCTTATAGGTGTATACCCACATCGAGTCTAGAATTTGGATCCCTTCTCTTCGTGCTCGAAAGCTTGGCACCTCCGTCCATGATTCAGTCTTCTTGTGGCTATCGAGGTGTTCTTCCTCGGCCTTCTTGAAGCTGTCGTAAAACGGGTGACTCGGCTTGAGACTGTTTGGCGAGGGTGGAGGTGGCAGCTCGCTGAGATGGGGTCGATATCCCTTCATCATCTTGCGGGTAAGGCTTGCATCATCTACTCGCACCCCTTCAATGCTCTGAACGTTTCCCGCCAGTAGGCCGGCAATGAAAGCTGCAGCCCACGGCTCAGCAACGTATGCTGGATGTCTTCGTACGTTTCTCGCTGTCGGATCGGCTTTATAGGCTGCAATCCTAGGCTCAGCAACGGTGGCTGGACTTAGTGCGTTGAGTGGAGATCGGAGTCTGTCCCTTTCGCTCAGGAGAGACACTCGGTGATCAACCGGCTTAGCTCTATCCGTTTTGCGTAGGAGGTCCATTCCCAGCGTCTGTATTCTACGGGAGTGAGGTAGGACTGGATCTTGTCCCTCATCACTACTCCCGGCAGCGGCTGGAGGCAACTGCTCGTATCCAACTGAACTCATCCACTGCGCGATAAACGCTGCAGGTGGGGTGCTCGGTGGCGTAGGATAGGGTATTCTCTTCCTTCCTGCCTTATCGTATTGGGGTTGTTCTGGTGGTCCTTGGGAGTCGCTCACTGCCTCGTCCTCATAGAACGTGTCTGTCTCACTGTTCTGCTCTTGAGGAGAAGGGGGTAACTCTACCGTACGGATCCACGATTGAATCTCTTCGAGAGTGCTGTGCATAAGATTATCCATGACTTGCTTCTCACTTCCATCGAAGATTGTACACTCATCGAAAACAACATCGCGGGTACTGATGACCTTCCCCATCGACGGTACCCACACTCTGAAAATGTTGGATGATCGATATCCAACGAGGTATCCAATCCAGGCCTTCGGGTCAAGTCTTTGCAACCGTCCCTTATGCCGTTTCGTGTCATCCGTTATCGCAAAGGCCTTGCAGCCGTAAGTGCGTAGATGGGACTGATTTGGCTTACGAGGTGACGTGACGACTCCGAGTTGGTAGGCGACTCTAGTGAAGAACTCTTCGTATGGCGATCTCCAGCGATTTGAGTATCGGGGCGTTCGGTTGTACAGGTACACGGTGGATCGCACGACTTCTGGCCAGAGCTCCCACGGTAGGTTGGCGTCAAGGCGCATTGCTCGCGATTTCTCCTTTATCACACCCCCTGAGCGTTCTGCTCGCCCATTCTGGGCTTGGGTATCTGGTGCAGAAGGCTCAACGGCAATGCCCTGATCGTCTTTCCATCGTTGTGCTTCTGTCGATCGGAACGTCTCGTTGTCAGTCTCGATAACTGCCACCGTGATACTAAATTGCGTCTTCATGAAGGTGACGAATGTTCGGAGGGCTCGGATAATAGAATGGGCGCTGTGGCTCTTGAGGTAGAAATCCCAAAAGTAACCAGTCGCTCTGCACACGATCAGCATTTGCGTCTTCTCCTTCGTATTACTTCCGTCTTCATAGTCATGAAAGTCAATGGCTACTCGCTCCCCAGGTCCATCATGGATCTCTCTGGGTGCTCTTCTTATTAGTCTCTTTGACTTTGATCTTCCACACGCGTCACATTCGACGGTGGGCAGGCCAACGATCTTCACCCCTTCAGAGTGATGCACGAGATGTTCAAGTGCCTGAGGTCCTGGGTGACCCATTCGTTTGTGCCATATCATCGCTTTGGCTCGTTGCCTTGGGTGCCGGGTGCGTGCAGTGGTTGCAAAGCTACCCTGTGGTTGTTTCACATCGTTGTATTCGATAACCCATTGTCCGTATCGTTCTTGGAGTGTAGCAATTGCGGCGTCATTGCGTCTGCGCAGTACTGTTGGGTTTGACTTGGTATCCCACCACAGACCTTGTTGGCGGAGTATCCTAAAAGAGACGAGGTTGCAGTGCAGGTCAGGGCAGTAGGCCACGTCGTACAGGTGCAGCAGTCGTGTGGGACAATCTCCTTGCACTCTGATGACGACAGTACCGTATGCCTTGATCCATACTCGTGCATTGCCTGCCCATAGGAAGTCTCCTTGTCCAGGTTCTCGGGTGTTTGTGAATCGTTCGATATCGTTTCCTACGTGGCACGTAGTGCCCGAGTCGAGGATAAAGGATCGTTCGAGTGGATACCTGGAGTTCTTAGTCATAAAAGATGAAGCAATAATTACTAAGTTGATCGCTCCAATCTCTCTGCCATACAGTCACTCTTCGGACGTAGGCTCGATAGTTGGCGTAGCTGATTGTGACTTCTTGATCACAGGTGTCCTTGATCGAGGTCGCTTGCTGGAGCGCACGTCGTCTTCCAGGTCAGGCGTATTGCTAATCCTGTTCTTCACCATTTTGGTGATGTGGTCTCGTGGTTGCCAACCCTCTGGAGCCGTGTCTGGGAATGCATACCAGCATTTGCTGAGGGTATGGAAGCCGTCGCATGCCTTGCACTTCTGCGATGAGGTTGATCATCCACCGTAGGGATGTTGGCGCTTCTGCATGTTGCGTCCTCTTCCTCTCTTCTTCTCATTGTCTGGCTCTTCGTTATCCAGTGTCGGTCCTCCTGCGGCAAAGGCCGCCTTGTTCGATCGGCTCTTCGCTGGGTGCATGAGTTGGGCGTTCTGTCTAAACTGAAGGAACATCTCCGTGGCGGTAACAGTAGGATCGCGGAGGCCATGTACGATGAAGGATGTCGTCCAGGTGGAGAAATGTTTAGATACTGATGATACGAAGTCCTTCTTGATGAACTGGTCGTTGAGGCACTCTGGCACTCCGGTGGCTCTGCCTTCGGTAACGGCGTGATCGACTTCAGTGAGCCAGGTGTCCCATTGGGTAACTATTCTCATTGGCTTCATTGCTTCGTGGTATCTTGTTCGTGCTTCGTCAAGCTCGTCCTCTGCTCGCACACCGACGGTGGCGGCAAGCTTAGTAATCCAGTCTCGGTACGGCTAGGAGGGCTTGCAGCAATTGGTGAACAAGTGTGCGGACACAGTAGTCCTCATAAAATCGGTAACCTGGGCGAGGTGGTTTCTTTCTCGCTGGTACTTAGTGTCTTCCATCTTGTACGCCTCGATCCTTCCTTTGTAATCTTCTACGTCCTCTTTGTATGACGCCTTGCCAGTGTTTGACAGGTCGGAAACACGGGTAGGGACAAAAGGAGGCGATGTCGCAGACAGTGGGTGTTCCGATTGATATTGGGTTGTATACGCGTTGATCGCGGCGGTCGAGGGCTGGTAAGCGTCGACTTCTGGACGTGTAACGGCGCGTGGCTCGACAAGTGGCTGGGACAGCTGTTTCGTGTCGAAAAGGTGCCAGACGCTCAAAGGTACGCATTTGTTTTCGAGTTGCGCAATCCATTTGATCCATTGTGTGTGATTGGTGAGGACTATAGTCTGATCGCGATTGTAGATAGTCGTCATTTTGGCTGTTGTCGTCGCGTCGTTTGTGCGACAGCGGTATTTCGCTTAGGTTTGTAGGTATTCGTGTTGGTAGTGCTTCAATAGTAAAGGCACTGAGACTCTTAATTGTCAGATAACAGGGTTCTGATGGGAATCATAATAATTGTGGTTGAACGTGTGTATTGTGGTGTGTGGTGCAGTCTCGTGAGGGATGAGACGGAAGGTCGCCCTGTCCTAGTCCCTCTTGGGACTAGGGGGTCTACGTAACGTGATGATCTCCAACTCCGTTGCCTTCCACCCAAAATCTACCTCATATCTGACAAGTATCCGTAGTTGAAGAGGACTGAGAAAGCTTTAAAGAGGATCTTAGGCTGAGATTTATACGCGGCTATAATGATAGGCTGTAATAACGCATCTAGGCCTAGCGTACTACTTTTAACTTTACTTAAACACGCTAGTTCTAGTTCTATTATAGATAGTGCTAGCCAGTCCTAGTTACTCTCCTAATAGCTTTCGAAGGCTAGTAGATCTATTGTAGGTGGAGGCGGGAATAGGGCTGTCCGGAAGGCTTAGCATTTCCCGCTAAAGGTGTTATGTTCTTGTATAGTAGGGATTCTCTCTACTTTGCTACCCTTTGTGTATGCTATAGCTTTGTAGATTGCTTTTAGATCTTCTGTTTCTAGAAAGTCGTTCCAGTGTTTTCTTTTAGCCTCCTTTATAGCTTGTGCGTATCTACTACGCGCTATTAGGAAGTCTCTTTTTTCTTGGTACGCTTCCTGTATGTTGGTAGCGGCTAGTTTTTCTTTGTAGATTCTTCTGTAGAAGGAGGTGTTTTTTCTTAGCTCTGTAAGCTCACTACTCCACCATACTTTTAGTTTTGGTCCTAGCTTTACTAGAGGGATTGCTTTGTTTGCTGCTGTTTGGATCGCCTGAGTAATTTCTGTGCCTATCTCATCTAGCTGTTCTGCTAGCTCGTTGTCTTGATCTAGGAGTAGGTTCTTAGAGTCTCTTTTTCTTAGGTTGTTGATCTCATCAATGTTTTGTAGGGTTTGGCTTCTTCTAATAGCTATGTCTAGCTCCTAGTTGAATAGGGTCCAATCTACCTTTTCGATATTGTATTTTGGCTGGTTTTGTCAGATAGCAGGGTTACTCGACGTTGGCAGCAACCAATCAGCGTAGAGAGGGTCAGTGCGCCCCTCAAGAGGGCCACAAGCGCGGACACACGATAGACAGAACACAATACACACAATCATCAACATCCATCACTTTTGTGCAATATCTCATTATATCTGACAATTAAGAGTCTCACTGCCTCAATAACGAGCGATAAAACCACGAAAATGGCAACAATCCAGACCCAACGGGACGCGACGGTCATCCTCACCGACTCAAGCAACTGGATCCCTTGGTACCGCCAACTTAAGCTGAAATGCCAGTCGCAAGGCATTTGGCCACTGTTGGACCCCGAAGGAGTGCGACTCCAGCGCATCCAACCGGAGGCTCCGCTACCCCCAGACATTTCGCAGTATGAACCGTCAAGTAGCCCCTCAGCTGCCTCATCGCATACCACCCGAAACGCTAGAGGCAACACGCGAGGATCAGCACAAGACACTACAGAAATGTCGACAACAACCTCACGAATCCCCACTATACCAACGCGAGTGTCAGAACTCTCAGAGAAAGGACAAGAAGCGTATAAGGAGGATCGCGACGACTACAAGCTGCGCCTTGAGTCATACAAAATACGGGAGAGGGACTATCAAGAAGAAAGCAACAAAATCTCAAAGATGGTCGAACACATCCTTACAACCGTAACACCCCATTTACAACTTAGCTGTTGCGCCGAGAACGGCACGCCGCGCGACTGGATAACCGCCCTCCAAGACACAGTTGGAGTGGATGAAGACGAGGAGAGAGCGCGAGCACGAGAGAGATACCAAGCCGCACTCAAGCCAATGCGTTCAACCACAAACTGGGAGACGTGACTAAA